ATTGTCACGCAAATCAAGCGTGTGTATAGTGGTAGTCACCGTTCTTGACGGGTCAAAGTGAGACTACCAGTTTTCCTTTATATATCTCCATCTCCCTTATACATACACATGCAACCTACCCCTGTGTATGAACGTTTGTACGGTAAGATGTCGTTACGTATGAGTGTCATTCAATCATATTTGTCAGAGTGACAACTTTCTTAACATCGGAGTTATTATCAATCTTCAATATAAAGTTGTACAATGCCCGGAAAGACGATCAATCGACTGCTCGTGCTAAATTTACTACTAGAGTATTTCCAGGAACAGAATGAAAACAGAGGTCCCCTTTTACCCACAACATGCGTACTGGAGAGAGTAGCAGATGGTATGGAGACTCGATCTGTGTACTTATTTCATATGGCGTTACTACAAATATACAAAATTTGAGCTCAATTGCTTAAGGTTAACTGATTCAAAATCCAATCCCCAGATTTGTACCGTCCTTACTCAACACACAGGTCAAGTTAAATAAAACCTTGTAATAGAATCACGCAGTTCCCACTAAATGTCGATATGGTTTATAATTTGCCAACTAATAGGTCGTTTTCAGACAGTGTTCATGAAAATGTTCTATTTATAATTTTGGCAACATTTTGCCAGCATACGAATGTGTAGCATCAAGCCGGTCCAGATGCTTTAGATCTACAACGAAAAACTAATCACGTGACACACAAACAGCCCTTCTATTAGTTATCCAATTGGTAATGCAAAATTCACGCGTAAATCGGAATGTATTTTCAGACAAGCATTACGAATATGTAAAAAGAACCATTTAATGCAAGTTCCCTAATCGAAAGCAATAATTGTTTCCGAACTTTACTGGACAGCTGTCTGCAATCCTGACCAAAAACATTTACAATTCATGCACTGGTGCATGCTCTACATAACAAAGAATCCTATTTGGTAAAGATTTGCTAACATCTCTGTTTTTACGGGAGATTCCAGTTAGAATTATTTTTAGTTGTCTTTGTGATATGTTTAGTACAATAAAAGTGACTTCAAAGAGGTACAGCCGGTGTGTTGCACTGAATGGCAACTCAGCACTCAATTTTGGGGCAAATGGATGGCCCAAGCGACAGACAGACCGACAGACTGACCGGCAGACAGTCCGACAGATAGACCGACAGACAGACCGACAAACCGACAGACAGACCGACAGACAGACCGACAGACAGACCGACAGACAGACCGACAGACAGACCGACAGACAGACCGACAGACAGACCGACAGACAGACCGAAAGACTGACCGACAGACAGACCGACAGACAGACCGACAGACAGACCGACAGACAGACCGACAGACAGACCGACAGACAGACCGACAGACCGACAGACAGACCGACATACAGACAGATGGAAATTAGTCACAAGGTCTTTCGAGATGTCATCCAAAATATATAGTATCTCATTTTCTAAGATTTCCGCGATTTCTTGTGGATTTGGACAGAAAGAAACAGGAGCAATATAAATACCAATAGTGAAGTTTTATGTAGAATCAATCTATACTAAGTGACATATAAATCCGAACACCCAGTTTAAATGGTTTTATTTTAATAAAATTTTTGTATAAGTACTTAATGAAGCGTAATAAGTAAATGATAAAAATTTCAAAATGATTGCACTGCTTTAAAGCCCTTTGACCTTTAATAATGTGTGGATGCACCCTGATGTGCTACGCATTCTCCAACGCGCCTAGGCATGCTTCTGATCAGGTGGTCAATGTCCTCCTGTGGTATCTCATTCCAGGCAACCACCAACTCCTCTCGAAGTGCTTCTAGAGTCTGAGGAGGACGTTGCAAATTGAGCAATCTCCTACTCATCATATCCCACACGTGCTCAATTGGGGATAAGTCGGGAGATCTTGGTGGCCATGGTAACAATGTGACTTCATTATGTTGGAAGAAGTCTATTGTGACTCTTGCAACATGTGGTCGGGCATTATCTTGTTGGAAAGTTGGATCTGCCAGGGTGTCAAGATAGGGTAAAAGATGGGGTTCTGCAACTTCGTGGATATAACGCTGCGCGTTCATGTTACCTCTGATGAAGATTAAAGGTGACCTGGAACCATAAGCTATAGCACCCCAAACCATAACTCCAACAGTGTGATGAACATGTCTTTCAACAAAAAACTGTGGATTCCTCCTTTCACCACGTCGCCTTCTAACCCTGGCACGACCATCGTGCATGCCTAAACAAAATCGAGACTCGTCACAAAGACAATACTGTTCCATTCCTGATCCCAGAGTGACCGTTGTCTGCACCACTCAAGGCGATTACGTCGGTGTTCTCGAGTTAACGGGAGGACCCAGTGTGGCCGGTATGAAAACAAGCCAAAACTTTTCATTCGTCGGTAAACACTTCCAATGCCAATAGGTCTTCCGTGTTCTGCAAACCATTCATTTGCAATGGACCTGGTAGTGGAGAAACGGTCCCTTAAGGCCAATAATCTTAGGCGGCGATCTTCACGGTCTGTTGTTCTACGGCGGCGTCCAGTGCCCCTTGCTCTTTGCGCACGGCCTTCTCGAAGCCATGCCTGACAACACCTAACCACAGTGTCTACACTTCTTTGCACTCTAACTGAAATTGCCCGAAAAGAAAGTCCAGCTTCCCGAAGACCCACTATACGGCCCCTATCAAACTCACTAAGTTGACGAAATCGTACAAGTCTACGTACTCTAGGCATCGTAACCGATCTTAAAGGATGTCAAGAACCAAAATCCGCCAACGTTGATTCTTTACTGCGGCTGAAATATTCATTTTTAGAGCGTTAGTGAATTAAAAAAAAAGCAGTATAAACACCGGAATGTCCAACTGATAAGGCTGAAAATTTTTTCACTTTTTATTTACAGTAAAATAAATACATTCACCAACTTTTATTAAAATAAAACCATTTAAACTGGGTGTTCGGATTTATATGTCACTTAGTATAGTTTAAGTTCATTTTCTTCATTATTTCTAAAGTTTGTTTTGTACAGCTCCCAAGAATGACTTTTTAAAGAGGGTGGGTTTCAGCATAACGGTACCCTTTCCAAGTCACCAAGAGTGTAGACATGATTTCATGTAGTGATGAGTCACAGTTGTAGTCCACACGGGTAAATAGCTGCCCCCTTAGGGCAAGAGATCACCCACCGAGCTTCTAAAACAAAGGTTAGAAAGAGCAATAACGATTACGACACGTATGAACTGTGTACATGATGCACACAATATCTATTAGTACTCATAGTGTAGATTCATACGAATAAGGAAAATGTTACTTGAATAAAGGTACATCAAATTCTACTGTTCTATTTCCAATATTAGACCACCTCGAGGAAATCGTATTGAAATCAATATGTCCAAACGTTTTTTCGCCGCTGACATTCCTATGTGTCGTGTTGTAGCGGTTTCTTTTGATTATTTGTATACAACTGGACATTACGACACTATTTTTCACATCGGTTGCTCGTGTAAAAAATTGCACTACTTACTGTATCATTTTAATATATATTTTACACAACACGGCGACAATTTTTCTGAAATGGATATTGATTGCGATTAGGTAACATTAATATTCCTGCTGAGAGCTATGGTGTAAAATATTTTATTTCATCTTGGCTTCCACGTACCTAACCATGAGTAGTACCTTTGCTGCTAGGTTGATATTTGTTATTAAATTATTTTCACTTGCCAATTGCGCTATTCGATTCTATTTCGGTAAGATGCCTTTTTGTTTGCTAACCTACGGACAAAAATATTTGTTTGATATGTGCTTATTAAACAAAAATGGATTTGAAGTTGAACATTTGGGTGGACTGGTACATACCTCACTTCATTCTTCCTCCATTCATGGAGGAACACGTTGCGTTCCATGCTTTCTCAATTGCGTTAACCATTAACCATTAACTTTTCACCGTTATTTATTCACTCATAGTATAATATTCAATCGGATGTTGCTGTTTTTCATTCGCTCGCTTATTTATGTAACATTTAATTCATTGGACTGATGTCAGGCTTTTAATTGACGTGCCATTTCAGTACAAAATCGAACAGTGGATATCGCTGACCTCATGGTTGAACAGGGATCGTGAGTTCCATGTTTATTCTATTATCAGAACGTAAACACTTTGAATTCTTTATACTATATCTAGAGGCACGACAGTTTATGACGTGTACCTTTTAAGGAGCATTTTTACCGAAGGTACAAGACGGAAACGCGCCAGCGGCTGACAAGTTGCTGACACTGCCGTTGTTATAGTCGTAGTCACCGTTCTCGACGGGTCAAAGTAAGACTACTAGTATTCCTTTATATATCTCTGTCTCCCTCAGTCATACACCTGTAACCTACCCCTGTGCGAGAACGTTTGTTCGGTAGGCTCAAAAGCATGCATTCTTTAGTTGTGTGTCTCCGTCTTGAAAACTTTGGTATTACGTATGAGTGTCTTTTAATCATATTTGTCAGAGTGACAACTTACTTGACTTCGGCGTGCCCTTCGAGTTGTCCTGTCATCAAGTATTTCCAGGTAGGGGATAAAAACAACTGTCCCCTGTTACCCACTTCATGCGTACTGGAGAGAGTATCAGATGCGCTGAAGATTAGTCTGCGCAGTGTTTTGCCCATGGTATGGAGACTTGATCTGTTTACGCATTTCATATGGCGTTGATGACGTAACCGCCACGAACGGTGACTATAACTATAGTCAATCGTCAGTTGATGGCGGATGTCATCTCCAGATCGCATTGTGACACTTTAGATAACGTCCGTTGTATCTTCAAAAGCTATTGGTGAGTGGGTAAAAGTACTTCTCCAATGCGTTTTTTAGCTGGACCATCAGTGTTGAGCACCTTCCAAAAGAGCTAACAGCTGATATAAGGGATGTGATAGTCAAGATAATATTGTAATATCAGATTCAAGTATATTACCTTCCGTTTATCCATAATAGCACAAAAAATTTGTTACGTATTTGTAATTCACGCTGAATGACTGAAAGATTTTTCGTGAAGTACGTTACAGATACAAGTCTTTTTCAAACCAAGACTTCCAGTTGCTTGGGAGTCGCTCCAGTGGGTACGCAAAAGCGAAGTCAAAATGGAAACAAATCCGGGTTGTCGTCATATTGCTTAAGGGTTGGTGTATACCGGTGGGTATTTAGGTTACGGATTTCTTGTTCAAATCGTTACAAGGAGATCTGCTACTACATGGGATACATGACAATCTATAGGAAAAAAAAAACAGAAATCACTTTAATGACGTGCAACTTTTGTCCGGTACTGTACAACTTGCAAGACACCCATATCTCACACTATCCGCATTGGGATAAGTAGACTATGGTCAGTTCTGCGGTTTGTCTACGCATACCACTAAACAAACAGTTCTCATGCGACACTGATAAGATTATTGTTTTTCCGTGTTTGTTTTGTTTTTTCTGTTAGGTTTTGTGCCTGTTACGGATAATTTTTCGCTGCTCAGGCCACCTGGACTAAAAAACAGCGCTACTTTACTCTCGTGTGTATGCACGAGTGGTATTGTCATAAAGAATTGTTATCTGGCTCTGTTACACTCTACTTAGTATTCAAATTTTTACGGCATATTAATGAAAGCGCGGTTGTATCATGAAGCGATCGCATTTATATGGGGTTATTTACTAGACTGGAATCTAACGAATATGCTGAAAAAAAAACGTGCATTTGTTTTATAGGTTTCTATGGATTAAGTGCTTGTGTGCTCACGTTTTTTGAATGGGTTGCTGAAGGTAGTCCTCACGAGTATGATAACTTTGTAGGTATAGTTTCACAATATAACCCTGACAGTGATCGTGTCCAAGATCCCACCACACAAAATACGTGCATTGTGTTACGCTGCACATATTGACGGAATTCTCACGGCCGGCTGGATCCTAGATACTGACAAGTCACCGACCATTGTGCGAACAAACCATTAGATGGTTTCAGCAAAGTTTTCTGGTAACTCTCGATTCTTTAATTTCAAAAACTAGTAGCAGTGCCTGCAGTAGCTAAAGTGAAGTCAAATTCGTAACCTCGATTACTGTGTATGTTTGTGTAAAAATCCATTCGATCGACAAAAACTACATCTCATTTACTAAACACTTCAACTCTAAAATCAAGAACACCCGTCCTCATCGAAAGCAACCGGCAACCGCTGTAAGCATCCACACTAAAAAGACACCAATACCACCAGTTTCTCTGAATTGTAACACTACGGCTAAAATTCCGGTTGTTTCCCCAAAAAGGTCCTGAAACTCTTATAAGCTGCCTTCATCAATCTCGCAATCGACATTTTTCTTTGTTATTGACTCCCATTTTCCAAACCCCGTTTCAATATCAAATAACTTAACAAAAGTGACAACACAATGACAGACGATGGCAAGAATTACAAAAATAAGACCGCAGTGTCGCGTTCCGAGATACCCGAGAACACACCCCTGGCCAGATTTTACTTGTGACACACTTTAGACTATTTTTCTTCCAATCAGGGCTACAAGAGGTACCTATATTCCGGCTTTCCGATTAGTAGATATGTTGTCAATGGTATTATAGACTATCTCTATGCGAGGCTGGCAGAGACGTTGTAGCAGACCGCAGGTCACGTACAACACATGGCCTACCGAGACGCTGATGAGTCGGGCCACGCGGAGGTTAGGGTTTAGTGGGTATTAGGTGGTCTCCTCAAGACAACCTGGAGTCCCACACACGCCGTAGCTCGGGCTATGGTATCGTGCATAAACGCATTCCCCCCTCACCAAAAAAAAAAAAAAAAAGGCTGGCAGTTACTTGGTAGCGTTTTTGGCGAAAACGCGTAAGCAACGTAACTAAAGGGAGATCCATCCGTTGGTTTCTTCTTTAAATTGGTATTAAAACTACACTCGATACTTCATTCAAAAGAATACCTTTTGCCTGGCCTGGCAGTAGTCCATCCTCTTAACCCACTTTTGAAGCACATGTTCGATAGTTTGTGGGTCTATTTCATCAATAACTCGACGGATATTTTCCTTAAGAACATCAATTGCTTGAGGATCGCTAGTGTAACAGCAGTCGTCAACAGTACCCCATAGGAAGTAGTCCATGGGTGTCAAATCACAGCTGCGGACTGGCCAATGAGCGTCTCCAAACTCCAAAACAGCTGATAACGCGATGACCGAAATTAATATGTAAAAGATTGTTTCACGGCTGGTGTGGCATGTTGCGACATCCTGCTGGAACCAGAGAGTGTGCAAGTGCATGTCGTCTAATAGGGGCCACAAAAACCGTTACTCTTTTTGGATGCATTAGTTTTCTATGACGACATGTGGATTTTCAGAACCTCAAATCCTGCAGTTCTGCTGGTTAACATAACCTCCCAGATGGAAATGGGCTTCGTCGGAAAAGATGATGTGGCGACCAAAATTGACGTCCGTTTCCAATTGATTTGGAGCTAACACAGAGAAACGATATCGAGACGGATGGTCATTTTGTTTCAACTTTTGCACAAGTTGCACCTTGTAAGCAAATAATCCCAGGTCGTTAGGCAATATTCTCCGCACAGAAGTGCGACTGATGCTCACTTGTTGCTCTGTGACTAGTTGACATGCTTGCGTTTTCACGCACAGTCTGGGCAACAGCAGCAATGTTTTTGGCTATACGTACGGGTCGAACACGTTCATACCTTCTATTATCCACAAGCAGGCCAGTTTCACGAACCTTTGTCACGAGTTTTTCAATAATTTCTTACATTTGTTCAAGATTAAAATGATCCATTGCTCACAGCGCAAGTTTGACGCACTATATCTGTCAATATTCTGAGGATGGAAGTGTTACCAGCTAACAAAATTTTACCAACTTTAAGAAAACCAACGATGGTGCACCCTTTATAAGTGGAAATCGAGTTGTAGTAAGGTTACCGACCTTCTTTTTTTTGATGGACCAGTACTTAAGGGTAGCAACTATTTAATTTTCAAATTCAATGCGAGACATATCGCTTGAAAAGTCTATGACCTACTTAATAGTGTTATTAGTTCAATACAAGTCCAGAAACTAAAATTTAGAAGCATCATTTTAATAAAATCTCCCAAAGCCCATTTCGAGCTGAATAGGTAGCACACTTAATCCTAGACAGTGTCAAAATCAGAAGACAATATCGATAAAATAACGTAGCAGATGTTCAAAACGCTCCACTTTAAGATCTTAGGCTCTTACATGTTGCCATGATAATTAAAAGATCTTTAATTTTTTTATGCAGTACCTATATTTACAAACAATAATACTCGAACGAACAGTAAATTTACCTTTTTCATTATGTATGCCAGTTACGAGTAGAGAGGTTGAACTTAGGGATAACATTTTTGAGCAACGAATATTTTTTTAATCTAATCTAAAGTCGTCCTGCTTCGTTGTTTCTCATTAACATCCAGGGTATTTAGCTGTATTACATTGCTGGTGTAGCTTGAGTTTCTCGTCAAATTGATGAAGAAGCTGCAGTCACGTAGTTAACTAAACTGTCAGATTATGTAAGTACACGGATGTCTGGACAAGGATATGCATTACAGTTAAAGCCCTCAAATACCTTGCTCACTTAACAATTTCATTGTCATGTTTGTGTACAAGAACACGTTACATTGCTGTATTAAGCATATACTAAGTATGTATTATTCACACTAGCTGTTATACAGCACAATCAATATTCATAATATACGCATAATGAACTACCAGGTATTACGATATTTTTTTTCATTTACGATTACTGATCGAGTATTCAAATGATAACAGCCTATAGAGTAATCTGCTACTAGTGCGATTTTTTTCAACTCCTTTACGTGTAGATTAGAAGTGGGTGACCTATCTTTATATCATGATTTGAAATGTAGTCACGTTGCTATAAGAATGTGGACAAAAAATAAGAGATTCTTGTGTGCTCCATCATTGGGGCTGTAGTGTGACGCTTCATTCAAAGGTGTTTTTTTCAGGACCACGAGTTAAACCAGAAGAATTCTACGAATCAGCTGGAAAGAGAATGAAGAACGAACGTTTCATCCATCAAAATTCTCAGAAATTAAGAGGAAAGGAGACGGATAGGAAGGCAGAAGAAATACTAACTCCTTAACATTAGAGACTGGCATGAGCCACTTGAATATATGCAACAAAAAATACAAAAGTTGTGCCATGACAGTCGTCAGCCTCGAGGGTGATGACACTTAGGGGCAGGAATCATCTGGCTACCCCTAATTCCTCCTCCCTATAATTGCTGAGATGTAAAAGATTGCTCGGACAAGATCATTTTCCTTGAAGATAAAGTGTCCTTAATAGTAAACAACTAAACAACTGTCGGATGTTGCTAAAAACATGCTGGCATACTCTTTATTCCTTGCAGAAAATCTATCTCCACAACCGGTCAACATTGCCTTGAATAGGGTGACGAACTCGAACAGATTCAATACTGCATGAAGTGAGAAGTTGTGAAGGCCACATCGAGCTTCTCAACCAAATCGAATTTTGGAATTATTATCCGTGATTGTTGCTTCAATCACGTATGACCGGTTTCGATGTCGGGGTTAATCTGACCGAAGCGGTATATTGCAGCCCGAGAAGCAAGTTGAGTAGCAATTTCCGTAGCAGTGGGGCGCTAATTCTGATGTGAAGGGTACATGATTGTCATACACTAACGCAAGAACCACTATACGATTGCAGCAGTTGCATACAATGCACTAACTATTCCTTAAAAAATCGGTTAGGTGTAGTGATCAGCTGACAATAAATACACTTTTAATTGTACAGAAACATAAACACTTACAGAGGTGTACAGAAATGTCCAGCCTAAGTAATTTCATTATGTATAAGGTAGCCGCACTTCTGAAAGCATCTAAAATATAAAAGTTAAGGGGACTAAATAAAAAAGAACCAAAAAATCTTTTCATAATTATGATAGTTTGAAATCTGCTAATTTGACGACGCTACGATTCTTTGCTCAGAATTTTGGAGTGGAGGAAAGTTCATAAGAGCAAACGTCTCTCTTGCTTGAAAACACTTATTTTTAACATTGAAATGGGCACAAAGCAACGTTTCATTTGTGATCTATCAAAAATAAACATTTATGTATTATATTTCTCCATATGATTCGAAATAACTGTTATATCTTCAAAAACAGGTTTAAAAATGACATAGTGTCTAGATCCGTAGCTGTTCTGGACCTGGAACCCCCCATTTTGAACCCTAACAAATGCTTTATCACAGTTAAAATATTAAATCTGAGAGACTGTACCCCCTAGTTCCAAGGCATTACAATCCATAGGTGAAAAATATAGGATTTTGTATGATGATAAATATGTCTGTTTCCACCGCTTCCGAAGTCAGTTTGCACATATTATTCACCGTAAAAGATTGTTTTGTAGGGATATGCGCAACATTTGTTTTTTTCAGATGGTGTATGACAGTATTACATAACAACTTAGGCAGCCCTACCAAAAATGAATCACTCAAGGAAGGATCCTCAATTAAGACATATGTCAATTGACAAACACATATCATCCATATGTATTAGCCGTGCATCGAAACAAGTTCTTAAAAATTCTCCCGCAGACAATGGGCACATCAAACATTCCGTCAGAAAAAATGAGTAGCTCCCACAGCATAACCTTCGAACCCGCCATCCTTAATGCTGTTTGTTCATAGCTATACACAAGCCATAACGATAAATTATAAATTGCATGTAGATCATATTTGCATACTCGGCACTGTCGTCCATGCAACATAAAATTTTTTTCAAAATAATTGGTAAACGCAACATGATTTTCTCCATTTTTGTGCCGACTAGTCAACCCTAATTAGGTATGTAACCACTTACAGCCTTATCCACTGACAAAATGTTGGTATCGCTGTGTGACAATATAAAAAAGGAGACAAGGTGTCATTTGACATCTTATTTGATTGATGTTTCCTACCTACTGATAATCAACTTTCGCTACCACACCCCCTTCCGCACTAATTTTAAAGAAGGCATAAAAGTAGAATATAGAAGTCAGGGGAATAGCCAAAACTAGGAATCGTTGTGAAATTATGACTTAAAATCTCATAGTGCACCGTAAAATTTCTTGGAGCATAAGTAATGAACTCAGTGCAAAGCACTTTGTAATAATTTTCTCAGCCCAATAGTGCAAAAATGCATACCAGTGATTATTTGATGCTATTAGTTTCTTTCCTGGGTGCAAATTACACGATTCAGAATGTTCTCGAACATCACACTGTTAATATAGTTGTCCGCGCTTTATATATCGGATCGGGTGATCAACCACGATTTCTTCATACGTCCAATGAGCAAAATTCAAGGGGAGGGAGGGGCTGGTCTAATATAATTTTATATCACCAGAGCAAGATGCTGTGGCTCCTATTGTGGATAAAGTGTCCGCTAAAAAATCTGTAGCCCGACACACGGATCGTGAAGTGATATCAATCTTGGAGATTGCTACAGATTTTTGCCAGAGTAATGTTACTGTTCGAGCGAGATATCATTTGGCCTACACCTGAAGGGTGAACAAAGAACTATTTATCAAACTCCAGTGCAAGTATTGGGCAAAAAATCTTAGCTTTGGGGATCAAAGAATTTTAAAATGTTGACAAACCCTTGTGTTCTTATTGGCAGAAACATTTCGCAAGTAAAAATATTGAAGTCGATGCTCATCCTATTCATCGTATGGAGAGCTTACGACACTTTTTTTGATAGTGGGAAAATTGATTCTTAGATATTTGCAAGTAAGACTTTATACTAATAGATTTTCCTGAATGGCAAGATTTAAGTTCCGTTGGATAAACAACCTACTGTTCTTCTGTTCTTCTGAAAATTCCTTTTCAAGTGCGAAAAGGATCATGGAAAAAATTAGAAGGAGTAAAATTGATACCTTCTGGAATGGCTGAACCTATTGATGCCTTGCGGGATAAGAAGATCAGATTGAAAAAGAAGTGTGCGTCTGCAATTTTTATCTCTGTGACATTAGAAACCCTGTATCTGTTTCAAGTATTAATTTATATCCTGTATCCTTCTTTAAGAATATAGTTCTACTTGATAATCAATAGTTTCTACCAGTGGTCCGTTTAAATGATAAGGGCTTTTAGAAATTAATTTATTATAATAATTATAAGCTATTGCTTATAGAAGGGTAAAGTGAACTCTATTTAACATTACCACATACCTTTAAAGCATAGTTTGAGCTACCGCTTATGTTTTTTAAATCACTGACAAACTGGAGGTTTGATTTTGGGCACCTTCTCTTTCTAACTAAGCCTGACATGTAACAAGGGTCAAGTAATTCGCGATTTTGATATGAGCTCCTTCTTAAATTACGCAGACGCACCACAATCGATTTTCGGTTTTTAGAAACTCAATAAGGTGAGTTCCGAAAAATTTCCAGATCAAAAAAATCATTGAGGAGCTGATATAACTAATGAAACACTATTGTTAGATTGATTTAGCAGCCAAGATATTGTGGCCTCTGATAGGCATGTGTGAGGAATTGCGTAGGCGGAATTTTTTGGTGAAGCACTATTTCGTATACATCTTACAATACGCCTTTGTCCTCAGAGCTCATGCAGCGCGTGCCACCCAGTCTTCAACAAATTCCGCCTTACTTTATATAGCCCGGTTAAGCAGCTTTCGAGTAGGAACATACTTTGCAACACAACCTTAGATCTTCTTGGTATGCTCATAATCATAAACTAGTCAAATAATAAAGTATAACAAAGTATATCTTTTCCATTATTCTTGTATTATTTTTTATTAAGGGGGGCGGGAAGATTAGTTAGTGTGGCCATGGGTAACTGACTACGGATGGTGTAGACCGAAAAGATGCGAATAATTCAAGTTATTGGAAGTACCAATAATAAATAGACGCGGATTTGATTGACCATTTGCTCAACGTTAGGCCGCGGTACCGAATCCTGTAAGATACGAAGAGATATGATAATAGAAATATAACGATAAACGTGAAAGCAACAATTCCACCTTACAAGCGTTCGAAGTACTATCCTGTACCTTTTCACTTTTATTACAAGAGTAGTATAAACAACTTAACAAGGGCTTCAATGTCAAGATAATTTCAAAGCCACTTACTTGGTGACTTAACGACAGGGGAGTTGTTCTTCCTTGGCGATATGGATACCTCGCTAATCTGGTGCTTAGATAGATATGCCAAGTATTTGATTGTTACGAAAAGCAGCCCAGAAACCAGGATATCACGTTGTCGTGTCAATACCCAAAAGCTCCTACGTTACCTCTGATTCAGAGATAACCGACAACTTTAAGTAACAACCCCTATACACATCTTGCCATGAGAGACTTTCAGGCTCCTGTGTCAATATCCAATACACTCTGACATTTCCCCTGACAAAGAAAACCGAGCAGTAATTCCCCCGATATCAGCCCCACCCTTTAAGTCTCGTAACACGTCTTACACCTCTGTAGATGTTTGACTCTAATTCACGACTAACTTCATCTTAACTGTTCTTAAACATATGTCACTGTTTTTGACTTATGACAATTATTATCGTGATTATAAGGGTACATGGTTAGAAAATACAAATGACATGCAGTACAGCAAAACAGTAAAAGATACTCAGTGAAAACCCTCACCATTTGATTGATCGAACCTTGACCTGAACTTGAAAATGGCACTATTCACAAGATCATAACACACATACACTTCGACCTTTCAACTGCTAGAACAGTATTAGAATGAACTAAGAGGGCCTGTGCCTCAGCGTGCTCTTGGTTTCACAAATACGCAGGGTCGTAAGTGTTTGTTGAAATGTGTATGACAGCACCACCTTTCTTAGCATTCCACGTATCAAGCGAACCTTTTACAGGGTGACTCACATGCAGAAAAGTGTAGTCACTTGTCATAATATGAACAAGGCAGATGCCTTCCATGCATCCAAAGGAAAATAATATGTCATCTTAGCCTACCTATAATGGTTCACAGACAAAGTATATATCTAAGAATCAAGCTGCAGTTCCAAGAAGCAATCGCACTACACCTGTGTTTTCCCTAGTACCTACATCATTTTCATGTACTAAAAAATCTACAAAATATTGTTGCTTTCTTTCTTTTCCAAGTTGTAACCCAGTGGTTCAACCACGGAGA